GTGGAAGGATGTTAAGCACAAGGTACAGTACAGGTGGGAGAGCCCAGTTGCTGTTATGGCATCATGGACCACTGCCAGTGTTGCCTCCCATTCCCAGACAGCTAAGGCAGACCTCTTTCATGCTGCCTTTGTTAGAGCAAAGGGACATAAGTCAATCCTGTCAGCTGAGCTCAGGAGACTCAGTCTAAGGGAAGAAACTTGCAGAAAGAATGTGGGCCTGGCAAGTGTCTGGGCTTCCCACATCTGAATAGCTTGATAGAGTCAGACCCTTGAGCCAGGCTTCCTTGGTTCAGATCCCCCCTGTGTGACCACAGCCAAGCTAGCAGCCTCCTGTGCTTCAGTTTCTTCCTCTGCACTAGGATCACCACAGTACCTGCCTCTTGAGGTGGTGGTTTGATGGCATGCATCTGTGCATAGCTCTTGATGACAGTCCTGGCACATGGTATGAGCTCGAATGCTCACTGTTGCTGTCATTGGAGCAAAATTTAGAAATACAGTGCTGCTTAAATTGGGTGGCCGACTGACCACGTGATATTATCTCATGCTCACTCAAGTAGAAGTAGACTGCACCATAAGGAGAAATAAGTAAATAAAGTCCTGGCTAAGCACGGTTGCTCATGCCTGAAATCCTAGCACTTTGGGAGTCTGAGGCAAGAGGATCACTTGAGGCCTGGAGTTTAAGACCAGCCTGAGCAACATAGTGAGACCCCATCTCTACAAAAAAACACAAAAATTAGCTGAGTGTGGTGACATGCACTGTAATCCCAGCTACTTGGGAGGCTGAGGCAGAAGAATCACTGGAATCCAGGAGTTTGAGGTTGTAGTGGGCTACGATGACTCTACTACACTCTACCCCCGGCAGTAGGGTGAGACCTTGTCTCAAATAAAGTCCTCACTCTCTGTGAGGAAACACTGAAAACATAACAGCTATGTGTCATTTGAAGGTGCATCTAATGGTTGGCATGCCTTGGGCCCTACCCTTGTCTTTGGACAGTCTGGGAGGAGGCCTTGTGATTGGTGAGAGTTATGTGCTCCAAGAGCACAGGCTCAGGGTATGCTCTAGGAGCAGAGGGTTCTATGAGGAGAGGAGGAGCCTTGCTTGCCAGTGCTGGGAGCCAGAGAGGGAGCAGCAGGGGGTGTCAAGGCTACAGAAGTCACAGTTTGCTTGGAAGGGTTTGAATGCTGGGATTCAAAGAACTTGGACTTTGTCCTTCTGGCAGCAGGGAGCCATGGAAGGGTATTGAGCAGTGCAGGGCCGTGGTCAGCCTATCTTGGGGAAATTGCACATTTTGCTGCTGTCCTGTGGAGGTTCAAGGACCACTTCATATCTTCACCTCCCCCCGTCCCAAAGAAAAAAGGTCAGAAATTGGGGTGGGCTGGCCAGGCTGTGGTGACCCTGGTCTTCTCCTGTCTCCAGAGAGATCTTGGTAGAGGAGAGCAACGTGCAGAGGGTGGATTCACCAGTCACGGTGAGTACCCTATGTCCCTGCCTAGCCTGGCTAGGTCTTTTAGCCACATGGGCTTTCCTCTTAGTCATGTGGGCTCTGTAAGTTCACTCCTCATTCTTGGGATCCTGGAAAGCTCCCTGTATCTATCTCTGCCCCCATCTTCAAGGGTGCCCTGCTATAAAAAGTGAATGTTGTGGGAAGGGTCTTTCAATTTTTGGTGGGGAGACTCTTGGCCAGGGCAGAAGGACTCTTCATTTGTTGAGTGATTCTACTCACTCTGTGCCTCTGTGTTGGTAACTTCATTCTGGGTAGCTTAAGGGGGGAGTAGGGAGAGAGGAGGGCCAGGTCCTCCAGAGGCTGCAGGTCTAGCATTTACTCACAGAATAGTTGGCATTCAGTGTGGGGTGGTGGGTGATTCCAGACTGGGATAACCTGAGGTGAAAGAGCAGTATTTTGGCCCTGAGAAGCAGAAGCATAGCCAAGATCGATCGGGCTCCTAAAGCAGTGGGTATTTTAGAGGATAGTTCCTGGGAACAAAGGCTTTCCACTGTGAGAGTTGCAACCCACCGTCCTACTCCCCAGGTATGTGGTGATATCCATGGACAATTCTATGACCTCAAGGAGCTGTTCAGAGTGAGTGTGGGAGAAACACTGGGGGGTGTGATGGGGGGATGACTGGAAGGCCCTTTTAGGGAGAGTGGAAGCCTTAATTTAGTGAGTAGAGTGGGGGCAAGAGGCCCCTAGTGAGGTGGGCCCTTTGTGAAAGAAGGGCCTCACTGGAACATGAGCCACCGAAGTGGGTAGTGGGTGGTTTAGGACCAAGAAGAACCTTTTCCTTCCCCCCCAGGTGGGTGGTGACGTCCCTGAGACCAACTACCTCTTCATGGGGGACTTTGTGGACCGTGGCTTCTATAGCGTTGAAACGTTTCTCCTGCTGCTGGCACTTAAGGTGAGAACCCCTGGCTTCTGGACCCCACACCTGAGCCACCTCAGGCCTGGCCCACCTGCTTCCTTTCTACCCTTGTCTCTAACTGCAGCCACCCCAACTTGGAGCTGTGCTGCTGGTGATGGACCGACTCTGCTTGGCAGGGTGGTCAGAGCCAGTTCCCTTGACCTGGGACTCCTGATTGGGCCCCTAGAGGGTGAGGCTGGCAGGGCAGCGTCCTGGGGGAGGGAATAGAGGCTCGCTACATTCACAAAGTGGCAAGTATGACTTGGTACAGCATCTCTTGGTGGGAGAGGTGGTGAGGGACCAAGTGACACAGGACCTGGAGTGTCTTACTAAGGACTTTTGCCTGTATTTAGTGGGTGAACGAGGATTCATTGGTTTCGCAGTTGATAGGGAGGGGTCGGGCTTATGTTCTCTGGAGGAGGGACTGGGGGCCTGTGAGGTGGCTGTTGCCACACACATCAGGTAAGAGATGACATGAGTCTGGGCCAGGGAAGCGGTTTTGAGGAGATTTGGGGCACAGGTGGAGGGACAGCCTGGGCACCAGCCCTCCTTGGTGGCTCCCCCAGGTTCGCTATCCTGACCGCATCACCCTGATCCGGGGCAACCACGAGAGCCGCCAGATCACCCAGGTCTACGGCTTCTATGACGAGTGCCTGCGCAAATATGGCTCGGTGACTGTGTGGCGCTACTGCACCGAGATCTTTGACTACCTCAGCCTGTCTGCCATCATCGATGGCAAGGTAGGCCAGCTGCGGGGTTGCCCGGGCTTGGGAGAGGTGAGGAGGCTCTGGGCCTCAGCCCTTTCCTCCTTTCCCTGTTCCCCTGCAGATCTTCTGTGTGCATGGGGGCCTATCCCCCTCCATCCAGACCCTGGACCAGATCCGGACAATTGACCGAAAGCAAGAGGTGCCTCATGACGGGCCCATGTGCGACCTCCTCTGGTCCGACCCTGAAGGTGAGGGCAGGTGGGCAGGGGCAGGCTGGCTCCACCCTTCATTTGTCAAGACTGATTAAAGCAAGTGCCGCGAAGGGACACTCAGGCCGGGGGGTCAGGGAAGAACGGGAGCAGGGCTGGTCTTCACTGGCTTCCGCCCTTGACCTGCCAACTGGCTGCAACCCTCGAGAAGGCGCAGGGAGGCCTGCATCAAGCTCAGAGAATGGCCTGGAGCGTGCATATCATGGCTCAGAGGGCTGTTGAGGACCAGGTCATTGGCTCCTGAATGCGAAGGGGCTCAGAACGTGACAACAGCTTCTTCAGAGGTCAGACCCCCAGAATGATAGCCCCCCTGGGACTCCCTCATTTCGCGAGGTTCCTCCGGCACTCCCTCATTTTGTGAGGTTCCCCACCAGTGTGGAGCTCAGCTGAGATTTAAATCCAGGTCTCCTGAGGACCAGTCCAGGGCTCCTGCTGTCTCTTTCTCACATGCACGCACACATGCAGCCTCCACTCCATCACTGCCATTCCCAGACTGCCCTGTTACGGCATAGGGTGACCTTACGTCCCCATGTACTATGCGTCTCCTTCACTCTGTGTGTGCCTGTTAGGACAGGAGATCGTATGGTCACTGTGATTATGAGGTGGCCCCAGCCATCGAGGTTCTTTCTCCTTTGGAGCCTATCTGCCCAACATTTGCTGTGCTGGCCCCCCAAATCTCCCATACCATAGTCAGGCCCCATGCTCCTGCTCCACAGGCTTCTGGTTGGTGGAGGGGGGAGACAGGCTGTTCACCTTCAAGGGGCAGTGGGCAATCAGGGGAGCCTTGAGGCCGTCCTCTCCCCATCCCTACCTTATTTCCTCATCAGACACAACAGGCTGGGGTGTGAGCCCCCGTGGGGCCGGCTACTTATTTGGCAGTGACGTGGTGGCCCAGTTCAATGCAGCCAATGACATTGACATGATCTGCCGGGCCCACCAACTAGTGATGGAAGGTTACAAGTGGCACTTCAATGAGACCGTGCTCACTGTGTGGTCAGCACCCAACTACTGCTACCGGTGAGCTGTATGGGCCAGGCGGGGTTGGGGATCCAGGCCTGACCCATTCCTAACGCTGCTGCCTCCTACTTCCAGCTGTGGGAACGTGGCTGCCATCTTGGAGCTGGACGAGCATCTCCAGAAAGATTTCATCATCTTTGAGGCCGCTCCCCAAGAGACTCGGGGCATCCCCTCCAAGAAGCCTGTGGCTGACTACTTCCTGTGACCCCTTGGCCCCTGCCCCCTCCAACCCTTCTGGCCCTCGGACCACTGTGACTCTGCCCTCTTCCCCAGACGGAGGCTGGGTGTGGGCCCATCCCTGGCTCTGCTCTGCCCCCCAGAGGGCGCTTCAAGGGTGAGGACTTTCTCTGGAGAGGCTTGGGGCCTTCGCTCCATCCTCCTCCTCTCCTTTCTCCCCACTTGAACCATGAAGTTTCCAATAATTTTTTTGTTTTTCTTTTTTTCCTTCTTTTTTTGTTTGATTTTAGATAAAAATTTTGAGAAAAAAATGAAAAAAAAGTTCTAATAAAAGAAGAAAAATGGTCTTTGGGTTTGTGTCAGACCTGGCTGGGGATGTGCAGGGTTGATGGCCTGGGACCTGGGGTGGACTTCGGGGCCTTCAGAGGCTCAGGCCAATCAGCTTGCCCAGAGCCCGCAGGGCCCAGCCAGTGACCTCCCAAAGGCTTTCCTCAGATTCAGATTCCCCGAATTTCCTGATGAGGAAACAGGCCCACAGCTGGTTGATTTATGTGTATAAGAGGATTTCTGAGCACAAGGTCAAGCAGCTGGAAACTAGCAGGTCTGGGCCTGGGTCTTCCCACAAACCCTCTGCTCACCTAGCCCTGCCCAGGGCCAAACACCATTAGCCCAACGTTTCCTGAGCACTGATGGCTTTTGAGTTTTATTAACAAAAATACTCTGGCCCTGAGAACAACAGACTGGTGTGGCTTGCACGAGTGGTGATGGTGATGAGGAGGCCCAGGAGGTGGGGATGCTGGTCTGTGGCCCCATTTGGCCAGGCAGAGCCCCCCTCCATTCACACCGAGGTGAGAGCCGGGAAGGGGAAGCTGGCCCCAGCTGGACTCCCAGCAGCCCAGCCTAAGCTTTGAAGCCAGAGGGGGGTGGGAGTGAAATCAAGGTGTGAAGGGGGGGCAGGGGGCAGGGCCAAGCCAGCCATTTGGTGTGGGGGATGGGGCCAGTGGAAGTGAGGGGGCTACAGGGCTGGGGGAAGGGAACTGGAGATTTGTGATGGGAGATGGAGGGAGGCTGAGGGGCCCAGCAGTCTCAGTACATCGGCTTGGAGCCCACATCCAGGTAACTCCCAGGCCCAGGGTACGGTAGGGGGAAGGGGCCTCCTTGGAGGAAGTGGGGGGCAAAGGATGCTGCAGGAGGAGCTGCTGGGTACCCTGAGCCCCCTGGTCCTGGCTGCAGCTCCAGGAATGCTGAGTAGGGGGCTGGGTGCCCAGAGTCTGGAGCCTCTGGGAAGCTGGGGTTCCTAAAGTGAAGAGAGATGTCAGAACAGGGGAGAGGGACCCTCAAGCCTGGGACAGCTCTGCCCTGTGCCTTTGTCCCACTCACCTGGTTGGAAGGTGACTGGGGGCCCCATGGAAAGCCGCGGGGTGCAGGAGGTAGGCTTCAGCGCTGGGGCCACCGCATGGAGGAACTGGGACAGGGGCAGCTTCCCGAGGTGCTGGGGCCTTCTCTGGGTCTGTCTCATGAATGTCCCCACCCAAGGTGGAGTCACAGGGACCACCTGGTGCTTCTGGGCAGACAGAAGGGACAGGTTGGGCTAGGGAGGATCAGTGTCTCAGGCCTGATCACCATTGGGACTACACTCACCTCCACTCCCATAGGCCTCTGTGGCTACTGGCTCTGGGCCCCGCAGTTTCCTCTTCACACGGGCATCTCGCTCCCTGGGGAATAGTGGTGATGGTGATGATGATGATGGTGACGGTGATGATGATGGTAATAATAGTACTTACCAGGTGCCACATAGTTCACCCTCCCAGGGACCCTATCAAGTATGCATCATTATACTCATTTTACAGATGAAGGTACTAAGGGTCAAAAATTAACTAGAAAGTGGCAAAGCTGAGGTTTAGTCCCCACTTAAGCTTGCCAATGCTTTCCTATGGCACTTAGACCTTAGACTCAATAGAAACTCCTTCCCAAGCTGCAGGGCCAGGTGCAGGCTGAGCCCAGCTCACCTCTGCCCATCTCCACTAGTGTCCTTCAGCCTCTGTTGAATCCTCTTCCGCCCCCTCTTAACCTCTTAACTCATCCTTCTCTGTTCAAGCACAACTTCCTCAAGGAAGACCTCCCTGACCTCTAAGCATGCCATACACCCTCCCACAAAACATTTATCATGTTTCTGCTTTTACGTTTCATAGGGTGACCCTTTGGTTAATGTCTGTCTCTTCTGACAGACTAGAGGCTCCTTGAGGGCAGGGCCAGCTCTGAGGTGCTGTACTCCAAGCACATGACCAAGTCCTTACTAAACCAACATCTGGCTTCCCGTCCCCTCATTCCAGCCATACCACAGGTGGCGGGAGGTCCCACTCCACAGCATGCCCTCCCCAGACATCCACCTGGCTTCCTGCCTTACTTCCTTCTGGTCTTTTCTCAGATGTCCTCTTCTTAATACCTCACCCCAGTCCTTCCTATCCTTCCTCCCTGCTTTAGTTCTTTAGAACATATTCCTAACACATAGTATTTTATTTATTTCTCTTGTTTACCTGTCTATTCTGCCCACTAGAATATCAGTTCCATGAGGGCAGGAGCTTTGGTTTGCTTTGTCTCCTGATGTATCTATCTACAGGGCCTACAACTGTGCCTGGTACATAGCAGGTAGTATTTATTGAATCAACGAGTGAGTAAATGTTTTTACTTACCACTGTGTTCCTGAATCCAGCACAGTGCCTGGACATAGTGAATAATTAATAAGCATTTGTTGACTGAATGAGTGAATGAACAGCGCCCACCTCTTACAGTTCCTGCCGTTCTCCCGGAAGCCTTTGGCAAAGGGATTGGCTGCAATCTTCAGCTGTGTGATCTGGGGGCACACACCCAGGGTCAAAGCTCCTGTGGCCTGGGCAGGGCACCACACCCCCCCAAGCAGGGTCACTCACCCGTGGGTTCTGGTAGGCTGTCACGGAGATGAATATGGTTTCCGGGAAGCGGAAGGAGGCCACGCCCCCCCAGTGTTGGCTGCAAAGCTGGGCTGCCCGCACCAGGTGTATCCGAGGTTGGTACTTGTGCATGGAGTGCAAGATCAGCTAGGAGGGAAGAAATGGGAGTGACTCCCTGTCCTGGACCCCAGCCTTGGTCTCCCATCCAGCACCACCCCCAGCCTTTGTCCTGGGGTCCCAGTCTAGGCCTCACGTGGCCATGGGGGTCCAGCGTGCTGTTGGTAAGCTTGACACGATGGAAAGACACAGGCTGCCGCATCCAGTGACCGCCAGTGGCAGGAGAGTCAGGGTGAATGTAGACCCGGTCGGGCAGGCGTGGCTCTGCCTTGCCGCTGGGCTCCCAGCGCCGGCCCTGCCACCGGTAGCGAGCCCCATCTACCGGAACCACATCCAGAAGAAACAGATAGCGGGCCTCCGGGTCCAGGCCGGTGACTGATACTCGACAAGCAGGGAACATGCGCCTGCACAGGGGAGGGCGTGGGAGAGGCCAGGAGTGGGCACAATACCAGCAAAGGGGCAGAGCAACAGGCCCCCTGTGCTGTCAGGGAGACACCAAGGGAGGTGGAATCAGAACCCAGAGGGCAGAATCCTAAAGCTGGAAAGTCGTCTCCTCCCATCTTTATATATGGGGAAACAGGACAGACAGGTTAGGCGATCTGACCAGGATCACACAGCAGGTAAGGAGCAGAGCCCAGACTCCTGACTCCTAGACCCTCAAAGTCCATTTGCAGAAGCAGTGGAGAAATCTTGCCAGGAGCCTACCCTGGTCTCCTCAACTGATCTGCACCAGCATCTGCAGCTATTAGACAAATTTACCTCAGAAAAAACATTCTCTGTCTTCAGTGAGACAGAAAACTTCCTCCCGCCCTAGATAACGACCTCCACACAGGCCACACAATGACCACATCCCTGCCTCTAGGGTGACCTCAGACCTAGTCATATATATATATATATATATTTTTTTTTTTTTTTTGAGACAGAGTCTCGCTTTGTTGCACAGGCTAGAGTGAGTGCTGTGGTGTCAGCCTAGCTCACTGCAACCTCAAACTCCTGGGCTCAAGCAATCCTCCTGCCTCAGTAGCTGGGACTACAGGCATGCGCCACCATGCCCGGCTAATTTTTTTCTATATATGTTAGTTGGCCAATTAATTTCTATTTATAGTAGAGATGGGGTCTCGCTCTTGCTCAGGCTGGTTTTGAACTCATGACCTCGAACAATCCGCCCGCCTCGGCCTCCCAGAGTGCTAGGATTATAGGCGTGAACCACCGAGCCCAGCCCTAGTCATATATTGATTCTTATTCAGTCACATACTGACCTCTGATCTTGGCCAGATTTCACCGATGCTAGTCAATGGTTGGCCCTTGACCCCAGTCAGTCTGAATCCTGATTCCAGGTCCAGCCTGACCCAGGATCTAGGCCACACACTAACCTATAACCCAGCCAGACTTCTTGAAGCTAGCAGACTGACCTATGACCCTTGACATAGATTGGTCCCCAAACCCAGCCACAGACTCCACAGACTGACCCTTGACCTTTGCCACAGAATGACCCCTGATTCCAGCCACAGAGTAACTTCTGCCCAGGCCATATTCAGATTCTGAACTTAGGCAGAGCCCCAGCCCTCAGGGAAACTTCCAAACCTAGCCCCATCCCAGGAATCCTGCCTTCCCCAAGAGACCCCCTCCAGAAACACTGATCCTGGCCAGCCCCTCACCTCCCAGCTTTGGTGATGATCATCTCTGTCCCCACAGAGCTGAACTCCTTCCACAGCTCCCGGTTCTCCAGGCTCAGGCTGACCCCGGGGAGTGAATGGAGGACCTCTGGGGCTGATGGTGCCGGTTCAGTGCCCATGGCTGGGGGCAGAAGGGGCAGAGGTGGGGGTGCAGCCAGAGTGCGGGGAGCAGCCTCAATTCCAGAGAGGAAGCAATCCAGTTTTGGGGTGTCCAAATCTGGAGATGGAGGAAGAATGAGGAGCCAGTGGAGAGCCACAGCAACCCCAGACTCCTACCCAGGAGCTGGTCCCAAAGCTCACCCGGATAGCGGTAGCCCTCTGCCAGGGCAGGCGGGAAGCTAGAGTCAGCCCCGGGCTGGGGGGGCCCCAGGCGGTAGCCGGCCCCCAGGGAGGGGTACAACTCTCGTGGATGGTACATGTTGTAGTTCCCTCTGGCTTCGGGTCCTGCTTCCTAGAGTCCCCCAGTGCTGAGATGCCCCCTTTATAGCTCACAGCTCAGCCCCTTCCAGACCCAGGATCACAGCCCCTCCCCTCTTTGGGGCCCTGGAGTTGGGCTGGGGTGGAGACCCCTGGGGCCTCGATGGGGTCCAAGAGGGGGCCGGATACCTGGGTACCCTCCCCACCCCTCCCAGGGCGGCTTCATTAGCCCCGACCCCCTGCCCCCTCATTACATAATTAACTCCTCGGCCTGATTGATCCCCGGGGGCTCGGACAGGGACGCAGTTTGGTGCTTCCGGCCAGCTGGTCCCCGTTCCCACGGGGGGAGCCCCGGCGAGGGATAAGCTGGGGGGCGGGGCCTGGACCCTGGGACGGAGCCTGGAGTCTTGGGGCAGACCCCGGCACCCTAGACTTTCTGGCAGGTGACCCCCTCCCCGCCCCTCTCCATTTGGAGGACAGGCCTTGGAGGGGAAAAACCTAACTGGAGGGAAAGTGCATGGCTGGAGGGACGCGGCCAGAGCTGATGACGCGGGGTGCTCTGGGCCTCGAGGAGTCCGCAGCGGAGGCCCGAACCCTGGAGTCCTCCCCGGTTCCCATTCTGTAAAACCTCCATCCTAGGCCAAATCTCAAAAGTTTAGAGGCGCGCAGACTCCACAGTCTGGCGACTCGCGCAGGGTTTCCCAGAGGTCCTGTGGCGGGGAACCCGAGGAACTACACTTCCCAGCAGGCCCATCGCGGAGACCCGCCCGGGGAGGCGGACGGGCCGCGCCGGGGCCGTTGGGAGTCGTAGTCCACCGAGAGAGGCAGCCGAGCCGGGGGCGCAATCGCCTCCTGGGAGAGCTACCCCTAGGCGGTGGCCAAACGCTGAAGCCAAGAAGACGCAGATCAGCCGAGGTCAAGGCCTGGGGGGCCAGCGTGGGCGCGAGAATTCCCACCGGCTGTGAGACCTGTCCTGGTTTCTAAACGCCCAGCTTGGACGGCAGTGCCTACCCCATGCCGCGCTGGGGCAGAGAACCGCAAGCAGCTCGTTAGGGGCAGGAATCTACATTTGAATTCCCCCTTCCGGGGTTCCACATGAGCCTGGGGCTGTCTCCACTCCATTGTTTTATTATGTACAAACGCTACAGAACAAGGGGAACAGACACGCGTAGGGTAAGAGGGGCCTGGTGGGAGAAGTTCACAGAGCAGACAGTGCACTGGGGCCAAGAGAGCAGCACACAGGCCATTATCTATAGGGCAGGCGGGGCAGGGACGGGTTAAAAATGAGATCCAAGCCAGCCAGATCGCAGGGAGGTGCGGGGGTGTCGTCCCCCTTCTGATCTCCCCCCAAGGTCACAGTGCATGCAATAAAATATATGTACAGGAACTGGGTCCTTCCTCCACAGGGGCCCTGAGGCTTCAGAGCTCCCTTCGGGCGGAGGGAAGCCAGTGGCGCCCCCTGGCGGCCAGGCCGGGCTGGAGCCACATGTGCCAGGAGCAGGGGTCAGTCCCAGCCGTTGTCTTTGATCATGTGGTTGAGTTCAATGATGTACTTCCCCTCTTTGTACTTCTGGCTGCTCTCAAAGGCCTGTTCCTGAAAGGAGAAGAGGGGCCGTCATCCCTCGAGCAAAAGCCCTACCACAAGGCACAGGAGTTGGGAAGTAAATACGATTGGCCCCATTTTACATATGAGGAAACTGTGAACCAGAGAAGTCAAGCCACCTGCCCACAGACACACAGCTGGTAAACGGCAGGGCTGTGTTTCTCACTAACAGGGGGTACACAGAACTCTGAATCATAGGCACTTTTTTTTTTTTTTTGAGACAGAGTCTCGCTTTGTTGCCCAGGCTAGAGTGAGTGCCATGGCATCAGCCTAGCTCACAGCAACCTCAAACTCCTGGAATCAAGCAATACTGCTGCCTCAGCCTCCCAAGTAGCTGGGACTACAGGCATGCACCACCATGCCCAGCTAATTTTTTTCTATATATATTAGTATTAGTTGGCCAATTAATTTCTTTCTCTTTATAGTAGAGATGGGGTCTCGCTCTTGCTCAGGCTGGTTTCAAACTCCTGACCTTGAGCAATCAGCCTGCCTCGGCCTCCCAGAGAGCTAGGATTGCAGGTGTGAGCCACTGAGCCCAGCCCATAGGCACTTTTTAAGTACTAATGATGGCTCCAACAAAAAGGATACGGAAGTGTCTAAAAGACTTCATAGTCTAGAGGTTGCAAACTGATGGCCTGAGGGCCATTTTGGTCTACATATGTTTTGTTTGGACAGGAGAAAGTTTTATAAAAATAACTTTAAAATATAGGCAGGCCATACTCATTCCAGTTGGCCCCAGCCTGCTCCCGACCACCTCCAATCCTTTTTGCACCTTTTAAAAATCCACAGTATCTGCTTGGCCTTGCAGGTACTTGAGTTTTTGATCTCTGGACTAGGTAGGCCACCCCTTTATTTTATAGATGTCTAGAGAGGCCAAGCCACCTGTCCAGAGACACACAGCAAATCTATGGCAGGGTCAAGGGTGAACTCAGGTTAGGGCTGGCTGGCTATCTCTGTCCACCCACTTCATGTAGGCACCACAGCTCTAAGCGATGCCTGAAGAATCGTTTCCCTTGCAGTTTCTCAAGAGCATCTTCCTTTGCTACATCTAATCTGATCCCCATAACAATCTTGGGTGCCAGGTAGTGGCTTTATCTTCCACTGCCAGATAAGGAAATGAGACTCACGGTGAAATCAGACCCTGGACAGCAGCAGTGGCAATGAGGGCAGTGAAAAGGAGGCCCATGAACCCAAGCTCCACGTTGCTGTGGAGTCTTGGGCAACTTTTCTGATCCTCTGAATGATAACCTAAGCTGGTGGCCAAGGGTTTGGAGTAAAAGAAAAAAAAAATCAACTAGGATTCTGGTGCCTATTCTGTTACTTACCAGTTGTATGATCTTGGGCAAGCTACCTAACGTCTCTGGGCCTCCCTGTTGTCTTCTGTAAAGTGGAAATAATAATGGATTCTACCTACAAGACTGTTGTAATGATTGAATGAGACAATATATGCCACGCACACAACAGTTCCTGGCACATAAGCATTCAATAAAGGTTAACTCTGATTATATCCTCTTCTCTAAAATGGGGATGCAAGTACCTGTGAGGGAAGGGATGGGTTAAGAGAAAAATTCTAAAAGCCCTTGTAGGATGTGAGAGAAGAGAACTCGGTCAGGGGATCAAAAGACAGATTGGTTTGTGTGAGCTGGGCCTATGCACTCCGAAAGGTTACCAGATGACTGCTTGTGAAGAGGAGGTGATGTAAGGTCAAGTCAAAGGCTAGCCTGGGGTCACAGGCTGCTAACTCACATATTTCCAGCCCAAAGTGGTCTTGCAGTTCTCGCAGTGGATGTCAGCGACAGCATGGAGGCCTGTCAGCAGCACCCGCTCCTCGGCTGGCCCGCAGCCCACGTTCACCCTGTGGGGACATGGGGCAGTCCCAGGGAGGGTCCCACCATCACAGAGCCCCCCTCAAGCTTGTATTCACTGTGTCTGTTCTTAGCATCCAAGAGAAGGGTGATCAGAGCTTCCTGCCTGAACAGGGAACTCTGGGAGTCTCAGCATGATGCCAGGGGCTACAGATCACAACAGAGGTCAGGGAAAGAAAGGAGGGAGGCTGAATACTCACACGGAGTTGAAGAGGTAGGCACGCCCCTGACTGCCCTGGAAGGACTACAGGGTGGGAAGAGAGAAGGGGATCAGGGGTACTGGTGGGGAGCTGCCAGGCAGCCTCTCTAGCCTCCCATTCCAGCCTCAACTGTGGCCTGGTTACCTTGGAGATGAGGTCGTCGTGGTTGGCCAGGTGAGCGCGGCAGTGGGCACAGCTATACCTCCGGTGACAATCATCCAAGTAGGCCTGAAACGTCTTGGGCTTTGAAATCCGCACCATGGCGGGGGCCGGGGGCAGTGGCCCCACGCGGGGAGCGGCCCACGGGGAGCAGAGGGAGCCCAGTGCCTGCCGGGGAGGGAGTAGGTGGGCTGTGAGGACCTGGACCACACACATGCAGGCACTCCCAGAGTGATAGGGAGTCTCTTGGTCACACTTGGCTGCTCTCTACTTTCCCCAGAGCCAACAGCCTCTCTAGGGACTAGAGTCATTTCAGTTTTGACTCAGTGAGGAGGCCTCAGGTTGCATCAGTGGGGAAACTGAGGCTAGGAGGAGCCCAGGGTGAGTCACCCACCTGCTTCCAGCCTCACCCGTGCTGACCTGGCAGCTGAAGCTGGAGGAAGGAGTTTTAGAGTGGATGGGCAGTCAGTTCCCAGTTTAGGAGGAGCATGAGGGGTTAGGAATTGGTTGGTCCTTAGGACCTCATTTGGACTGCGCCGGGGGCTTCACCTGAGGTGCAGGGAGTTCATCTGGGGAGAGGGTCCCTCACCTGGAGGAGGCAGGAGGCCTCGCTGAAGGTGGACAGTCACCTAGGAGGGGAGGGGCTCTTACCTGGGGGCACTGAGGGCTTATCTACGCCGAAAGGATCTTACCTGCTTCGCGGAGCCTTACCTGGGGCCCCGGGGCTCACCTGGGGCGCGGGGGTTGGGGGCGGGCGCCGGGGGAAGGGGCAGTCCTCGCTGGCGGGGCGGGGGCGCGGGGCGACGCGCAGCCCTGAAGATGCGGGCCTCACCTCGCCTGGGCGCGCGGGGGCCCAGTCCGCCGGAGTGGCCTGGCCTGGGAGTGGGGGGCGCTCCTGGTGGGCGCCGTCCCCCCCGGCCCGGGTTCGCAGCCGCCTTGACTTGTTTACACCGAGACCAGCTGCTGCCGCCGCTGCGGCGGGAGGGGGAGGGGGCCCGCCTCCTGTCCCGGCGGCCGCCGTGGCCAATCGGCGTGCGGCATGCAAATAAGGGGGCGCGTCATACGGCGGCCAGCGCAGGCCTGGGCTGCCCTTCCCCCTGCTCCCGGCTCGGCCAGCCCGGAAATGCGGCTGCGGCCCGGCGGCCCGTCGCGTCCAGGCCTGGCCGCCGCTTTGGCTTCTCGCGGTCCTTGAAGGGGCAAGCATCCGAGGGTCCTGACCGAGGATCGGGTTAGGAGGAGGCTGGGGTTTGCACGCACGCCCCTGAGAAATTTAGTCATAATTATCTGCGGTTAGCCGCCGCCGGTGTCCCACTCTCTTAATCCCTGGATCAATCCTATAAGGCAATTGCTCCTATTGTCTCCATTTTGGAAACTGAGGCCCAGAAAGGTCTAGCAGCTCTCCCGCGATTATCCAGTTAGTAAGAGGCAAAGCTGGAATTTTCACTTTGGTCCAATTCCATAGCACGGGGGGCAGACTGAGTTCACCTCTTAGAAGAGCTAAAGGTATGTATCCCAGGTAGACCCCTGGGAGCCCCAGCCTTGGGATAAGCCAATCCCTACTGTTGAGCATCACATCCTCCAGGCAGCCTCCTCTGATGCCCCTACCCTCCAGGCCGGGTTAGGTGCGAACTTAGTTGAAAATATCTGCTTAAACATGCATCTGCCATACTTGGACTTGTCTTGTTCACTGCACTGTTCCCAGTCTGGCCCAGAGCAGGCACTCAATAAATGTTTCTGTATTGTGAATATGTAATTCATCAAATGAATTAGGTACCAGGGCTGCAGAGGGCAGAGGAATTCAGGGAGTTTGCTGGAGGAGACCTGGGAGTGGAAGGTTAGAGGCAACAGAGGGGTGCTGTGGACTCAGCTGTCCCACCCAGGCCCACAGGGGCCGGAGGTGGGATAAGTCAAGTACCTGGTCATGTGTCTGGGGCTCTTGATGGCCTCAGGAAAATGGAACCATTATCTGTGGCTCTCAAGGGGCTGGGGGCCAGGACACCAGGGTTGGCCCTGCAAGGGACATTCCTGAGGAAAGTGGTGGCCAGGCTGGCACCTGGTGTGGTACTGTTCTGGGTCTGGAATGCAGTGGAACCAGTGGGTCAGGCTTGTTAGAGGCTCAGGCTCTGGCCTCTCCATCCTTGAAGTCTTCAGGACGACCCCCACCCTTCACCCCAAGCACAATGATGTAA